AGAGAGAGAGAAACTCTTTTCAAAGAGCAAATCCAAAGTGCCTGCATACAGATTAGGGACAGCATGTCAAACCAAAGTCTACTGAGATCTACAAAATTCCTGAGATGGGAAGACCAAGGCTGGCAGGAAGTTTTCATGGGAAATATGAAGTTCAAGCACCAGAAAGACCAAATCAATATTGTCAAAATCAACTGCCAGGAGTGTCAGGAGGAAGAATTAGCAAAGAGCAAATCCAAAGTGCCTGCATACAGATTAGGGACAGCATGTCAAACCAAAGTCTACTGAGATCTACAAAATTCCTGAGATGGGAAGACCAAGGCTGGCAGGAAGTTTTCATGGGAAATATGAAGTTCAAGCACCAGAAAGACCAAATCAATATTGTCAAAATCAACTGCCAGGAGTGTCAGGAGGAAGAATTAGATTCATATAGAAGCCAGGGATTTCTAGTGAACTCGCCCTCCTCCATCTGCTTTCATAAAATCTGACAACCCTGTGACTTGATACTTATTCTACTGATGAAATTAGATACAGAGCCATTGAGTAATTTTCCCAGAGTCACACAGCTAATAAGTTATAAAACCAGGTTCTGAAACCAAAGTCTTTGCTGTTGATGTTCTGTGTTTGTTACCTGCTCCAGGCTGGGCTAGTTTTGGAACAAGAAGCGCTTAGAAGTTAATAAGGCAACCCTGTGAAATAAATTTGTTTTGCCTTTATTACTGCTTTTTAAAAGAGGGTAATTATATAGTTAATTAGGTCCACAGAAAGGGAAAAGCCTTAGGAAAAAACTCTTAAAACAATTGATGTATCTTTTCATTGATGTGGACTCAATAAATAAATGTTAAACCAACATTACATTTGATCAGGTAGGAGAGAGCAACATACCTTTTCCCTCAAATAAAATAAACAAGTAATAAAATATTACTTTTCAATTCAGTGTAATGATTCTGTCACTTATAACAGTAATCTTGGGCAAGTCATATTCCCTGTGTTGAAAACCTGACTTTTCACCACACATAGCAGTCCCCGACAGTGGAAAAAGCTAAACAGTCCCCATAAATTTCTTTAAAAGTGTCAATCTACTACTGTATTAATAATTCCTGGTATGTTATTTTAAAGCATTTCTGTAGTAGATTTTCTTTCTTTTATTTAGCCTAGATGATAGGAAAAAGAATTTATTTACGGCAGAAATTCATGTAATTCTTTAAAATTTTCATTTAAATGTTTTAACTATGTCCGTAGACTTTCTGGCAGCAGTGAGATTTTAAGACTAGAAATGAGATAGGCAAGTTACATCTACTGTACACATGTTAAGTGAAATTTTAAAAAATCACAAGGTATTTAGTGCAACTCTGACAAGACAAACTGAGCAGAAAAATATCCTTTTTAAAAACACTGCATGACTATTTGAAATCTATTTGAAAGTCTGAAACGTATACTTTATATCTTTAATACACAGTCACTAATAAATTCACTGAATCTATATATACATTTTTGTTGCAACATAAAATGATTCTCAGTGACAAGAACTTTATATTTCATATTTAATATATTTGATACTAAATGCATTTTATTTCTTTTAAATCATAATATACCCATTTAGCATTATATCTAAACCACCTGTATAGCCAGTGTTTTGAAAGAAAAAATAGAAATCATGAGCTAGGCATGGTGGCACACACTTGTAATGCCAGCACTTGGAGTCTAAGGCAGGACAATTGTGAATTGAAGGCAAACC